AGAGTTTGCTGTGAATTTTTGCAGTGAAAACAGCATCGGGAGGTTTGGGGGGTGTATATGAATTCAGAAAACTGGTAGAAGTGGAAGTGGAATTGCAGTGGTTTTTGCTTTGTTTGGGATTTTTTTAGGAAGAAATTTTTAGCTGTACGAACCCAATGAGGGATTGATGTTTGGCTCATCATAGTCAGAAATTTGCTAAAATAATTTGTGAAGCTGTAGCTAGTTGCTCTTCTCATTGTCTTCATTTAAGCTCTTGTAGTAGTGTCCACTGCAGGGCTAGAATTTCACTTAAGGCCTGAATCTGTCCTGAAAAACTGAAAATTGTGCTTTTACTGCTTTTTGATAATGCAAGAATCAACAGTGCCAGTTTATGTATTAATTGCTTTAACTGAAACATGTTTCTCTTTGAGAATGCAGGGGAAAAACAAACAAACAAACAGATTTACAAATTAATCCAGTCGTATACTTTGGAAAAGAAGAAAATAATCATGTAGTGCCAAAATGATGGCCAGTGATAGGGGTTAGTAGTTGTGTTGGGTGTTTTTTAATATATCCGTGTGGCAAGACATAATAAAACTTGGGGTCTCTCGTTCTCCCCAGCTACATTGTCCTGTCCTTTTCTGACTGGTAGCCATCAAACAGGGATCTCACAAGGTATCTTCTGCAGCTGGTCTGTAGTTTAACTGTGTCTTAGGTGCAATTTTCCTCCTGTACAAAATTGCTGCTGTTTCTTTCATTCTAGCTTCCATTCCAAACTTGTGGTCAGAAGATAGACTGGAAGGGATGTCCCCTCCTTTCTCCTTTACTCCGTAACAAATGCTGAGATGTGACCAAAACTTGTGAACTTGAAAGTCTTGTTGATCTCTGGCATCAGTGTTTTGTGAAATTCCTCTGTCCTTCAGATTCTCCTTAGGAATTGTTTACTTCAGCGGAGTGTGATAGTACGGGGACAGCTTTTTTGTTTGTTTTGTCACACAAACATTTTTCCTGTTAATCTTTAATGCTCTTAAGGAATGTTGCTGGCTTATGCTTTATTTATCTACTCTTGGAACAACTGTTACTTATTTCCTAACTCTTTCAAGAACAGTGTTCACTTTAACCCAGAATCTTCATGAGCTTCTTGCACAGTTTGATCTTATTTTTCTTTAATGAGTGGTTGACCATTCCTCTTCAAATTTTAGAGACTGTCAGTCAGCACAAAATTCTCATTCTGGGAGATGTCATGGATTTACTTTGTCACTGTTGCATAGAATGTCCAGAATTTTGCATCTTCTAGAGCGCTGCTTGAACTGAAGGAGTGTTTTGAGGCCTGGGTGGGCTTTTGTTGGCTTGCAGTGAATGTTGAGGTGTTGAAGGGAAATAGTGTTTTGTCCATTTTATATTCCTCCTGGCTTGTATGGGATCAGTTTATTTTGTGTAGGACTAGGGAGAGTGTGCATGCTTAGTAGTTGTGTGTCTCTATTAATTGACCTAAACTGATCTTTGGTAAAATTCTAAAGATGATACATTTGCATCATCTTTTTCTCATTAAAGTAGCATTTCTGTATGTTAGGGTTTTTATGATGAACTAAAGGATGCAATTTTTCTTTTAAGAGTCGGAAGGTACATCTAAAAGATATAGGAAGTTCTTCAGGGAATGTGTTGTTGTTTTTTTTTTTTTTTTTTCAGAAATGCAATTTAGTCTTGAGCTCATCTTGTAATAAACAGAAGATTTGAAGAACGTGACACTTTACTACCTTTATGGTTCCATTGTCCAGTCACTCTCTCCGCCTCCCTTTTATTGTTTGAGTTTATTCTGAGGTTTAGTCTTTAAGTGGTTTGATGGCATCCTGTGACAATTCATGTTAAAGTGATTTCTCGGATAAGTTTCCTTGCTATGGATGAAAACATCTTTACAATCTGATGTTAATTGTGAGGGGAGCTAATGAAATAACCATTGGTTTGCAGATAGTTCACTTCTCTTTCTTAGAACCAGTGGACAAAAACCAAACCCAGATTGAAAAGGACAGATGCAGTATTTGGAGTCTAATAATAACAACTTTCTGAAGTCTGTTGCCTTTATTTATCTTACAAATATTTATGAAGTCAATAAATCCATCTTTTTCTGGTTTTGTTTTCTACTTCCCCTGAGAAGTTACCTTGCTCTGCTGGTTATTCATGGATAAAATGCACGATATTGTAATAAATGATAATTCTTCACTTTGCTTAAATGCAATAAATACTAGAGAGGTATATGAGAAGGAGAACCAGGAGTTTAGCAGAGCAATTTTAATCATTATGATTAGGTCTGTGTAGAAAACGATTAGCTACTGCATGTTCACAGAAGACATCTAATTGCATCAACGTTATCTTAAGCTCTCAAGGGAAAGTCAGCAAATGGTGTTTTGTTTTATGCTGTCATTGAAATTTGATAATACACTACCCCTAATGTTCCTTTTCTTGTTTCAGTTCTGTAGAAAGTGTTCTGAAAACACTTGTGAAGAGCTGCAGACCGTAAGTGTTTGATTTTTCTGTTTTAAGCCTCTATCTTTAATATTATTTAAAAAGGGGAAAGAAAAATGTTTAAAAAAACCCAAAACCCTCCTACTAGTCATTCCTTGGCTGATGTTGTCCCAACTTGTCTAAGCAGCTTGAGGTGGAGGGTAGAGGCTCTTCTGCTTTACCGTGTTACAAATGATCAATACCTCAGGCTTGTAGGTTGCTTGAAATGAAAACCAAACAGCAGGCATGTTTGGTGGTGTAATGTTTAAACAAAGTATTAAGGTTTGAGGTTTTTTCCTTTTCAACAGCCTTGTTTGAAAATCTGTTAATAGTTAGATAAGCTGGGGTTATCACTAGCTGAGGCCACCCTTGCTTTTGATCTCTTACATTCACTGGGAATGTGTGTGCCTGAACCAGGCTTGCTCTCTGCTCTGGATGACTTTATTAGCAGCTTAAGACACTCAGCCCTGCAGGGACTAGACTTGTTCTCCATATTTACTGTTCCTATGGCCGTGTGTAGTTGTCGTCTGCTTTCCTGGGAGCAGTTGGTTTGTACAGTGCTGTTACTCCATTGAGCATTCCTGTAGGAGATGCTGTTCTAAACACGTACTGTTAGTATGGGGAGCGTAAGGATAAAACAGCCTTACGCTTTTCCCAAATAAAAATCTTGTTTTCAGTGTTGATTTTGCTGGTATCCCTTATAAAGATGAAGGTCACTGAAGCAGAGTGTTTCAAAAATGAAAATGTGATATTTGTCTCTTGGAAATTCTGACTTAAGGTTGGGACTCTGATAACGTTACTTCCAGTTGGCCCCATATCATCTGGAATAATTATTTTGTATAAACAGTTGTATCTGGTATGCATTTTGAATACTGTATTGCATGGATATTTAGTTTCTTTTAAAAGAAATTCTTGTAATGTTCCAATAAATACTCCTTGTTCCTTAAGTAATCCTTTTTTTTGTTTTGTAATATTGCATCAAATGTGAATAGTAGTGTTTGGTTTTGACCAGCCTTCACACTGAAATGGTTTTGCTTTGTACAAAATCTTTTCTGGTTCTGCAAGACAAGAATCTTGTTACATTTGTGGTCTTAAAATGATGCACCACGATGTCCCTGATCTTAACCGTGTGTTTTGTGAAGGTTAAGTGGAGTTGAGGACTGCCTGTCTATTGCCCTTGGGTACATGGTCTTACTGTAAAACTAAGATTCCTGACAAATTAATAGGTAGTTCTAAATGTATTTTTAAAAGACCCAAACTTTAAAGCCAAGTCTGCATGTGTCTGATGGCTTTCTTGTTTTCTTGTTTGCAGGTATTTTCCAGAAGACGCCACTGCAGAGATGCTGGATGAGTGGAGACCCTTAATGTGTCCATTTGATGTTACCATGCAAAAGGCTATTACCTACTTTGAACTGTTTCTGCCTACTACTCTTCCTCCTGAACTTCACCAGAAAGGTTTCAAGTAAGTGTAACTGGATGTCTGTTGGTACAGCATTCTGTTGCAAATGCAAGCAGTTTTCTTTTACAGGGTGACTTGAAGTCGACCAGCAAAATGAATGGTGGCTTTTAACAGCATTTTTGGAAGGAGTTCAAGACAGAAATTCTGTCAGCATCCTTCTTTTACAAAAGTAATCTGGGGAGGTCTTAGTACCTGTTCTCTAATGAGCTTTCTCTACTCTCAAGTGAAGCACATGATATACAACAAAGCAAATTAAATTTAGTGCGTGTGTACTTAGACTGGTTAGGTTAAAAGTACATTTGTGATACAGGGTTAGTGAAAATTTCAAGGAAAGTAGTGGATGTCGTTTATAAAAGTGAATTTAAGTAACAGAGTGGTATGGAGGGTTTGCACCCTTGGCTTCAGATGAATTCAGAAGAGAAGGGCAACTTTTAGATTTTAAGGTAGAGGGGAATGAAGTGTGATTCATTTTCGTCTGTTTTACCTGTGTTGGGATAGCAATACGTAATGAAATGGCAAAGCCCAAGTAGATAAGGAAACTCCTGAAACACGTGTGTGAAAGGAGGACATCAGAAAAGAAAAGAGGAGGAGAGATAACAGGATCAAGGACTGAAACTCAGGATCAGAGTTGGGGGTAGAGAGGATACTGTGGGAGACAGTGATACAGCCATGTCCATGTTGATCCCTGTTTTTGTTAGATGAGTTGAAGGACAGGTGAGTTTCTGAGACCACATGGCAAAGTGAGGGATAAATGTCCAGTGAAGGAACTGCTTCCACAACAGTAAAATTACTTGGATTCTCTTCTCTTGCAGGCTTTGGTTTGATGAATTTATAGGCCTTTGGGTGTCAGTTCAAAATCTTCCCCAATGGGAAGGGGTAAGTATTTACTTTTTACCTACACTAGAAAAAAATCCATTTAAATATTCCTACAACATGCTTGCAAGGCATTGGAGTCAGTGATATAATTGATATTTTCTTGGAAATAATAATGCCTTACAATTCTGTAAAGTCCCATCTTTGTATCTTACCACATCCTTCATGATCCCTAATTCTGAGTAGTAATGCTTTGCCTCGACTGCGGTGAGCTGTTGTCATTTTTTTTTTAATTACAGTAAAGAACCTGGACTGCCCTTGGCCAAAAATATCATTGAGCTATGTCTTTCAAGGAAAATAGTCCACCATTTACCTGTCTGCCTTTTTTGTGTATCTTAAATGACTAGATACAGGCTTGGGAAGTAAAATAAAATCTCGTTCTTGAGACAGCCCCACCAGTAGCTTAGGTGCTGCTGTTGTCAGCAGACCTGTGCCTTGGCTTCACTGCAGGGAAACTTGGCCTCTTACCAGATTTTTTCCACATTCAGTGTGAACATAAGCTCCTTGACCATCTGGCTCCTTTTCCTAATCTCCTGCCTATGTACACAAGGAGGACTTGTCAGTGTCTTTGGAGAAACCTGATTTCCAAACCACTGTTGAATCCTACCTTTGTAGCACATTCTTTTTCTGGGGGTTTCCGTGTGGAAAGGCTGTGTGTAGGTCTCTCTGGTTCGAGTTATGTTTCATCACAAATAAAGGAAGGCAGTCTTTGTTCCAACAGTTGACAGTTGTCCAGATTTGGAAAGGGGTGATTGCCAAAGTTTTATTTGAGATTGTCTGTAGACGTTTTTGCATCTTTCTGATGGCTATCCAAAAAATCACGGTTTTGGCTGCTCTTTCTGCCAGAAAGATGACAGCCTGCACTTTAATACCATGATTTGGTTTGTCTCTGTCAAACGGTTTAACAAATAATCGTCAACGTTCTTTCATAAGTTATCTCTGATGTTTTTTTTCCTCTTCCACTGTATTCTGACAGTTCCCTCAGAAAGCCCAAACAATTTTATTTTTTCCCTAAAGCTTTCACTTCTTGTTTCCTTTGCTGTCTTGTCCACTTCTTAAGGGCAGGCCTGTTCATTTCATCAAGCTTGGATGCAGATCATCAGGCATATGGGTTCTGACTGCACAATCCAATTTAAGCCTCTGTGCGCTTCAAGGTTTTCCTCAGCTTGCTTTGGCAGGAGTTAGACTTGCTGTTTGAAGGGGAGTTATGGAATCAGTTTCCTTTGTGCATGATATTTCAGATTGGATATTAGAAAAAAAATTTTTACCGTGAGAGTTGTAGAACACTGGAACAGGTTGCCCAGAGAGGTGGTGGATGCTCCATCCCTGGAGACGTTCAAGGCCAGGTTGGACGAGGCCCTGAGCAACCTGATCTAGTTGGAGATATCCCTGTTCCTTGCAGGGGGGTTGGACTAGATGACCTTGGAAGGTCCCTTCCAGCCCTAACCATTCTATGATTCTATGATAAGGGTTTTTTCCAGTGGGTGTTTCCTAGTGTCAAACAAAAAAGGTAGATCATTTAGGGAAATGTAACGCTTGTCTTCAGGCTGTGTCAGATGTGACTGTCCAGAATTGAGTTTGTGGGTTTTCCAAAGCTATGTCCTGCAAACTGAGAGATGAACTGTTCTTCTGTGAATATCTGTCTCTGAATTAGGCAGGATTATTTGAGTCCCACCCCTTTGGCCTTTGGCTTCGCCATAGCTTCAAGAAGGCTCTTGGAGACCTGATAGTTATTTCCCTATTTGGACAAGCTCATAAAAGGAGTGTTGGTGGATTATTTGCTTTCTCATGGTCAGGATATGTGAGTGAGACTTCATCTCCTTTTTTGTTTAGTCCTGATAACTCTGTTTCCTGAGGACATCTTTCAGTTCCCTTTTGGACTCATGAGACTGTCTTCTGGTGATGGAGTATCTAATTCTTCATAGATCATCACATACTGCCATCCCATCTGACAGCTAGTGCCTGTGACCTTCACAGGCCACAGATGTGTACAAACCAAAGCTTACACAGGTGACAGCCATCAGCACATGCAAATGCACTTTTAAGTAGATGGATCCTGTAGAAGCTAAATAGTCCTTCAAGATGTGTTGAATTTTCTTCAACGTCTATATATAGACACTATTTTAAGCCAGTATCCACATTGAGCTCACTTGAGAGAGCTCTACTGGTGAGGAAGCACCATGAGATGAATTGCCAGTCGTAAGCGCTCGTTAAGCTGCTCCAGCTTAGAGTTACTGTGGAACGTGTGCATGGCATGTCACTGATCAGAGTTACCACGACCCAGGACCATGCGTTGGCAGCCAGAGCAGACAGCACAGGGCCCTTTGCTTTGCCAGAAAGTGGTTTGTCTTTGACAATCTACTTATTCTCTTCCCAAGCCTCTTATCTTCTGTAGAGCCTCCCTCTCATTCTTGCAAAGAGGGTTACTAATGTGTGTGTTGGTAGAGTCGCGTTCTTCATAACGTTCCTTAGAACGTTCTCCAGTAACCGATTCAAGTAGTCCTCTGTGCAAAGGCTGTGAAGGTAGGTAGCAGGTTTCTCTTAGAGAAGTCAATGAAATTGCCAAACTAGAGCCTGTTCTGAGATCTTTGCTTTGTTGTGAAATGTTTCTTCTAATTATCACCTGGAATTTGTTCCAAACCTTCGCTGCAGAAGTGCATTGTCTGCTACGCCCACTTGATAGTAGTGTCAAGTAGTGGTAGTGGTGTCTGAAGGACTCCGAAGGTTAGTACAGGTCTTTGTGTAAGCTACTACCAGGAGTCTTCTGCTCTGTGGAAGCTGTTTAAAAAGGGGGAAGAGGCTCAAAGCTACTCAAAAGAGGAAAATATATTTCTTAGCAAAAGCTGAAGTCTTTGACATCACACAGCTCACGTATAAGTTTGTCTGTTGTTCATCTGGTGTTCTTCAGAGTTGTCCTAACAATAAAGGGTTGAGAATTAAAATGATAGTGAATGCATTCTGCCTTTCATGTTAATTCACAGAGCATGGGGCAAGGGAGAGGGCGAGCATGCATTCTAAAAGTACCATTAGTAAGTCTTTACATTTAAAGAAAATAATTTGAAGAGATAGGGGTGTGTATTCTGACTGGCTGCATCTCCCAGAACTTAATTGACAGCTACTTGCTTTGTAACTGCTCAGATGAGTAACGAGTTGGACTCCCGAAGGTAGGAATTGGGATGCAGTATGAAATAATGGTATTAGTGGCTTCAGACAGTGAAATCTCCCTTTACAAGTGCTTGAGTGGCATGAGTAGATTTTATCTTGCATCTGTGACGTAGATTGAGGCATTTGTGCATCTTTTATTATAAATATATTCTAATGAATATTTCCTTCTCTTATGGTTGTTTTCAGCATCTAGTAAATCTTTTTGCTCGCTTGGCTACTGACAACATTGGGTACATAGACTGGGATCCATATGTACCAAAGGTAACATTTCTCATTTTATGAAATGGTTTTGTTTACTTTGAGATAAGTCTTCAGTGTAACTGTGCTAAGAATAATTCGTATTCCCTCTATGGGTCTTACACTGCAGTGGCCTAGTTTTTCAAATGAGGTGCATTCACGTAAAGACCTAAGTTTAACTTTGGAAGTTTGAGCCATCCTTTTATGACAGACAGCATTGGAAGTCGTCGGTGTTATCACTGGACTCCAACGGAACCGAAGCCCCTAGTATACACTGTACAAGTACTGTCTGATTGTGTAACAACCTCCTGTTCCTGTGGAGATGGCCTTTAGTGATGATCTTGTGATAAATACTGTATATGACCTTTGAATCTTCCAGCTTATGGATTTTTTTTTTTTAAAGATGTTATATTGTTAAAAGAAGCCAAAACCACCAGACACCTTTTCATTAGAAAATAAATTTATGCCAGTTTTATGGAATAATTTAATAAATTAATTTTGCCAATGGCTTTTTCTTTTTTTCAGATTTTTACCCGAATTCTGAGGAGTTTAAATCTTCCAGTGGGAAGCAATCAAGTTCTTGTTCCAAGATTCTTAACAAATGCTTATGACGTAGGACATGCAGTAATGTGGATCACAGCCATGATGGTTAGTAACTTTTCCATAAAGTGAAACAAAAACGAATGCAAAGCTTTGAGCAAGTCTTTTTTTTTTTTTTTTTAAATTAATCTTTGTTCTGTTTAGCTGACTGCAGAAGCATGTTTTTAGGCTATCTTTTGCCCAAGGTTTAACTCCGTTTGAAATGTGGATGGAAAAGTTTATTTCACAACTGCTGTTGGTGGCATTCAGGAAACAAACAGCCAACTACAAGTGCCACTGTGGATACACGCTTGGGACCTGCTCAACAATTGAATTAATCTTTTAGGATGAACCTCATCAGATGAGAGGGAGACAACTTGCTGCTTAGTGCTGAGCTGAGGGTGGGGAAGGGAGGGAATTTGCTGGTGTGATTTGATGCTTTGAGGTATTGCTGTGATGAGAGTGCTCGCTTGTACCTCGTGCTACTGCATCACCTGTTCATTTTAACTTACTCTGTGTAATAAAGTTCCGTGTTTTACTTTCTTACAGGGTGGACCAAGTAAACTAGTGCAGAAGCACTTGTCTGGATTGTTCAATAGCATTGCCTCTTTTTACCATCCTTCAAATAATGGGCGCTGGCTGGTGAGTTTTTTACATGTCAAGGCAATAACTGGCTTTAATTTTGACAGTCATACCTGTCAAATCAAGCATGTTGATAGATGCACTATGCACTCCCACAGCCAGATTGTCTGTTGGTTGTATAATATTTTGAGGCTTAAATTTTCAAGATACATGATTGATTGTACTGTCATTCAAATAATAATTTATTCTCATGTCAGGACCACAGCTAATGGCAGTATTCTTCCCATGTGCAGCTTCGAAGTCCAAAACCAGACACCTAGTTCATATATAGCTAGGAAAAAGAAGTCAGCACTTTAAGGACTGTGATAACACAACATCAGTATTACCTGTGTGACGTAGCTTTTGTATTACAGACCTTCTATCTCCAAATTAGCAAAACTCAGTTTTCATTAACCAAAGCAAAAAAGTTTTTTAATGCATGTCTAGTTTGATGAAGCATTTCTTTCTGATGGTGTAGCTAGGGGAATCTTCTGCTAGGGAATGTGAAAATCTCCCTGTGATAGCTGGTAGAAAGTACAGATTAAAATAGCAAGACTGGTCAAAGCAGTGCTAAAGGAGCTGACTTGTTCTAGAATAGGAAATTTGCTTACAAGTGAACATGTAGAGAATGCTTCCAAAGATGTCCTTATTACTGGTAAGTAATCTTGATTATATCCTTTGTATGTAGCTTTCATTATTTTTTAAAATCATAAAGCATAGTGCTGGCAACATAATTGTTAATATTTTGGGAACTGAAGTTTAATGATAAATGGTGAACATGGCATTTTAGAGCTCTTCCAAGTTTTCTTTTCTTGCAGTTGTGTAATTTCAAGACACTACTAGCTTATTAATTGTCTGTTACACATTTAGCAGCTCAGATTCTGCTACTACCAAGTAACTGAATAGCATTTCTTGTGTTTCAACAGAACAAACTGATGAAACTACTTCAGAGGTTGCCCAGTGGTGTTGTCAGAAGGCTGCATCGCGAGCGCTACAAGAAAATGACTTGGTTAACTCCTGTGCCTGATAGTCATAAACTCACTGATCAGGATGTTACTGACTTTGTAGAATGCATTATTCAACCTGTTCTTCTGGCTATGTTTAGTAAAACTGGAAGCCTGGAGGCTGCCCAAGCCCTGCAGAACCTTGCACTGATGCGTCCTGAATTAGTAATTCCACCTGTACTTGAGAAGTAAGTTCTGCTGAGTCATTACAACTGGCATGTTCCCTTCCCAACAAATAAATATGCAAAGCATTCATATTGCATGATAAGCAATTTCCTGGCTGCAAATGAATGCTTGCAGTGAGAGGAGCTGCTAATACACACCCCCAAGCAATCACCTGAGTCAGGACAGGGATTGAGGGAGGACTTTGGTTTTTAGTTTAATTTCTTTGTTTGGTTTGGTTTTTTAGTGCAATGTGGGGTAGTCCTCAGGGGTTTGCGTTTCTGTTAGCCTTTTCTATCAGATAGTGGGTGGATCCAGGTGAAAAAGCAACTTTATACCCTTTATTCACGAGCCACCTTATGCCTTCTCACTAGCTTTCAGTTGGGCCAAATATAAATGATGGTGTTGTGCGTTTGTGTAGTAAAGAGCATAAGTTTTATATTTATGTTTTGTGTCAGCATGTGGCAGTTACAGGTTGTTTAAAATTACCGTTATGGCTTCTGACTTCATAAGCAAATCACTAAAGTATGAGTCCATGTAAAATACTCTGTTTGTACTATTACTAATACCTTGATGCCTGAAATTCCAAAAGCAAAACGTAACTCCTTCCTGCCTCAATGAAAAGCTTTCTTCCTAGTCCCTGTCCCCGTTCCCTGTCCTACACAGTCTTTTGTACTTCAACAGCTCATATTGTCAAAACAGTGGAGAGATCAGTTTGTCTTGAGGAGCCCTTCCTGACTCCACCGTTTGTAAAAACTTGATAATCATCTGCCCTTACAGGAAAGCATTCCAAGCATAACAGTTCTAAGACAGGCAGCAATGGATGCCCGTATTGGGTATGACTGCTCTTTCTGTTTTGAGAGTGGGCTGAAAGTCTGCTCAGTAGTTCAAACTATCACTGGTATGTTTGCCTTGGCTGCAGTTCCCAGTCCGTTTGGTTGAGTAGACGTAGGTCCTTTGTGCTTTGAATGACATAGGGCAAGGGTAGCACTGTGGCTCGTTTGAACTGTAGGCTGTTGATAACAAACTGCGTAGCACTTCCTACTGTTAAAGTACTTACTCTGATTTTTAAATATTTTTTTTCATACTAACGGAGCAAATTTTAGTGAAAAAGGTCCTTTAATGTAACATTAAATAATATATCCTGTGTCTATCTAGAGGCAATCAAGGCAAGTTCTCATGCTTGCCACAAGAACCTTATGCTTTTGAGTGTCCTGCTTGCATTAGCTTGAAGTTCAAACAGGAAAATCATCATAGCTTTGAATCTTGGAGGCCTTGCAGTTATTAGTTCCTATACTGCTACTGCTAACGGATTATTTAATCCTGAATTTGTTGTGAATAGGACTGATCAAAAGAAGGGAACGTTGTCTGATATAGCAATGTTAAGTCCATTGGAAAAAGATTAGAAAAAAGTTTTGGAACCATTGATTAGCTTGAGTTCTTCTTTAAACCCTTTCTGCAGTAAATAACATGTGCAATCCACTTCTGTTTTCTTTGAAGACTTCAGAAACTTTATTGTTCCTAATATGTCTGCTCTTAAACTTTATAGAACATATCCTGCACTTGAGACGTTGACGGAACCTCATCAGCTCACAGCTACGTTAAGCTGTGTAATTGGAGTAGCTCGTAGCCTGGTGTCTGGGGGGAAGTGGTTTCCTGAAGGTCCAACACACATGCTACCTCTGCTGATGAGAGCGTTGCCTGGGGTGGATCCTAATGACTTCAGCAAATGTATGGTGAGTGTGTAAATCTTACCTTTTTCTTTTTTTATAGAAGATAGTTAGCCAGCTAGTTCACGCTGAAAGGTTTTTTTTTATATTCGTATGAAAGCAAGTGACTCGTGTTTCTGGAAGTTCTTAACTTGATTTTATTGCTGCACGATTTTATTTGTTAACAGGACAAGCCTCTAACTTATAGTAATGTTTTTGGCTTGTCAGACAATGCCAAGTGTGATAAGCATTGTACCAACTCTTTGGGTAGCTCTAAAACACAAGATAAAATAGATGTTCCAGAGCTCTTAGCAAATATTCCTAGTCTTTTAAGATGAATAGGAAGACCTTTAACACTAGATTTTTGTTAAATTAGGTCCTAAAAGCCCACATCTTCAGGAGTTCATATTAATTGACTGTTCAAACAATCTAAATATAGGGGTTTTGTGACTTGAAAATTCAGCACAAAATAAGTGTTACTCAGAAAATTGAGGGGGTTGTTTACAGCGCTGACTGGTAAGTCTTACATATGAAATCAGAAATAACTGTTGATGTTTTGAGTTAGAAGAATTAAGCTCTGGACTGTTTTTTAGTGTAATGATTTGCTTTAGCTCCCATACCTTAATTGCAAAAGCTTTTTAATGTGTAGAATACAGTAACACTTATTGAGGAGCTGTTTGCAACTCTCCACAGATTACATTCCAGTTCATTGCAACATTTTCTACTTTGGTGCCTTTAGTAGATTGTTCATCTGTATTGCAAGAAAGAGATGATCTTTCAGAGGTAAGAGTGCTGCACAGTTACAAAAACGCTTATAACCTACTCTTCAATTTAATTTTTAGCAATGTAAGAATATCTTCAGAACCGTAACAGGTTTGCTGCTCTCTTTCTGTATGTGTAAAACTATGTTAAACAAAAATGCCACAAAAAAACAAAGATGTGGGTCACGTTTGCTTCTGGTCAGTGTGGTACAGCTGACATCAGCGTGCAAATTTGCCATGTATTCTTCGCACTGTTTCATAGTGATAGGTTGTGAAGATGTTAAATTCAAAGAGTTTAGTATTTTTTTATCTCAAAATTTAGCTGCACAAGGCCCTGTGTAGTGTAGTTTGACTCTGAGCTTGCCCTGCTTTGAGTAGGAGGGTGGACTACATGTTCTCCAGAGGTCCCTTGCTGTCTGAACTTATTCTGAGTCTAATAAAATAGCAGCTTTGTTACCGTTAAACTTCTGAAACTTCTTGTCACTGTAAAACGTTAAGATAACCATAAAGAAAAAGCAGGTGAGGACAGTGTTGTAAGATGTATATACATGGTTTCCAGTGTAAAACTAGTCCAGCTTGGAGCAAGGTAAAAGGGAACTAACTGATTGTCTGGGAGACTCTGGAAGGAAATTGGTCTCCTCTTGTTGAAAACTTCATATGTGTTTAAGAAAACAACAACAAAAAAAAAACCAACCCACCAAACTGTTTGTATTGATTTTTCCAAAAACTAATGCACTCTCTAGCTTTTCAGGGCTGTTTTCCTCCTGTGGGAAATCGTTTCAAAACACTCACTCCTCTTTAAAGTGTTCCTGCAGTCATGCTTGTCTTTGCTGATTAAGATTCTATTGCTGTCTCCTCAGACACTTGT